AACCCATGAACCAGCAACTCTTTAAAAACTCTCCAGTGGAAATGAACACACTGTTGTCAAGCACAAGCAACTGTTACCTTAAGATCCTGGTCTTGATTGTAAGTATTAGTAAATGAAAGCATCTGAGGCTAGATTCCTATTGTGAAATGCAAGATAAATAGAATTAAAAGTTATTTACGAAATTAACACCCATTATCATCTCCTCATAGGCATTAATGGAGTTAATAAAGGCAAAATATCAAAGTTAAAATAAATGACTGATTATTTTGAATGATAAAAAAAAAAAACAGGAAACAATTTCCTAATTCCCCTTTTAACTAAGTGGAATAATGAATAGTACAGTTGGACTGGGAAGCAGGAAGACCTGAGTTCAAATCTGGCCTCAGCCACTTACTAACTCTGTGATCTTGGGCAAGTCACTTAACCTCTGTTTGCCTCAGTTTCCTCAACTGTAAATGGGGATAATAACAGCACATAACTCAAAGGGTTGTTGGGAGGATCAAATGAGATAATATTTGTAAAGCACTTAGCATAGTGCCTGCCACATAGTAGGCACTCTGTAAATGCTGATTTCCTTTCCTTCCCCTTTCCCGCTTTCCTGATAGTTATATCTATATAGGCTGGGAGACAGACAGACAGACATATATAATTTAGCTGTTGCCTCAGCCAAAGTCTGCGTTGCATCTAATATTGTGATTCGTCAACTGACTTGAATTCTCTTTTAGCAGCAAACATTTTTTTGTGTGAATTACAGCAAAAGTTAGAAATAGATCTTCATTGTGAAGTTATGTCCCCAAACTTTCTATATACCCCACAGCACTGAAGTCAGAGGGTCTGGGTGCAAACCTTGGCTTCATCACTTACTATGTGATTTAGGTTAAATCACTTCCTCCTCTTAGGCTTCCACTGCCTGGTCTGTACCAAGAGGAGCCAGATTTGAGGGGAAGCATCATCTACATCATTCCAAAAGTCCTTTCCAGCCCTTATTCTTATGAGCTGACAAGTGAGTATGATACGAAATAGAATGTAATAATGGTCTAATAGAGCCAGACAAAATGCCATGAGAAATGTAAAGAGCTCATTTTCCCCTCTCTGAGAAGATTACGATTAAATGTAACATGGTCAGGAGAATCAGAGAGAATTTAAAGAGGAACGAATCCACGGTGTGGTATGAAACATCTTTCTTCTTCATGAGCTACAGGAGTAGTGATGAAAAATAGCAGGCTGGGGCTTGTCCATGATTGACTGAGCCATGTCCTAGTCTAGGCCAGAATATGAAGATTCTAGTCTTCAGCTATTTCTTGAATAAACAACAAAAAAAGCAAAAGAAAAAAGAAAAAGAAAAAGAAAACCTTTAAGAGGATACTAACCAGAGCAGTCCTCTGGGAGACAAAGGCTGATTCTATCCAGAGATCTGAGTTGGATCTGAGGACTGAAGATTATTGGGTTGGTTTTTGAAGTGCCTTATGGACATGGGGCATCATGACATGAGCTAGCAATACAGCCAGATGGCCAAGACAGAGAGGAGGGAATCATGGAGAGAGGACAAAAATCTGAGACATGCCCAGGTTTATTATTCTCAGAATGTTGTCTTGGGAATCAGAAGCTCTGATCTGCCAATACAATTATACCAGGAGCCAACAGCTAGTTCCCAAGTTTTAGGAAATGCTGCATCAGGCAGAATTAAGTGAGAGAAGCTGAAAGTAGGGTGGGGAAACAGAGGAAGGCCCCAAAAAGCATCATTTAAATCTTACATAGTGCTTTAATAACAAGTTGCCCCCAATAAAAAGCTGAGTTTCAAAGGGTCTTCCTCCTTTCCTTTATCCCTTCTTTCCTTCCTTCCTGTTCTTCCTTCCTTCCTTCCTCTCTCCCTCTTTCTTTCACTTGGAGAAGGCTGAAAGTATTCAGGCATTTTCATCATTCCTCTGCTTTGACCAGGTAGTGGAAATCTGTCTTATCTCTGTAAAGTCTAGTAAGAAGACAATGTTGTATAAGGGAAAGAACACAAGTCAAACCATCACCACACCATTGACCACCATCTTCCTGCAGACCCAGAACCAAAGAGCCCTGAGAATGCAAATGCTTCCAGTCCAGTGCCTTCAGCCATCATCCTGGGAAACAGCTCCTATGGGGATGCAGCCGGTAACTGCTCCAGCAGGTGCTACAATGACATCTACTGAAGACCTGGAAAGGAAAATTCTTGTCCCCAAAGTCCTTGGCAATGTCCAATGGTTCAATATTAGAAACTGATATGATTTTATCAGTGGAAAGGACGTTAAAGAAGAGGCATTACCATCTGATTGGCCACTGCACCTGAGGGACTATAGGGACCTTCCTATTTGATTTGCAGCTGAAACCATCGATGTGTGTTGTCTCCCCCTTAGAATATGAGGTCCTTGAGAAGAGGCGCTCTTCTTCCCATCTGTATGCCCACCACTTGGCTTTGTACATAGTAAGTGCTTAATAAATATTTTGTTCATTCATTCATTCAACACTAAACTTTGAACCAGAAGACCTATAATCTCATTTCTGTCCCTAATGGTCTACACAACCTTGGGGACATCTTTAAACCCCTCTGTCCCTTGATTTCCTGTACACTACATTTTGTACAGTAAGGAGATTGGAATAGATGGTCTCTATGGTACCTTCTAGTTCTAAGATATTATGAATCTATGAAGTTTTCCAGAAGTTGAAAAGGTTCCCTTAATTAGAGCTACTCTTGCTCAATGAGCTCCCATTACATCCAAGAGCACAGGAACAATAAACAACAATGACAACAACAACAAAAATTGTGAGAAGAAAATATGGAGGAAAAATGTCCTCCCGATTCGGGTTATTTTGTTGGTTTTGTTTTGTTTTTTTTTTGGGGGGGGGAGCTCATTTCTTTAACCCAACTGTGAAACCATTTTCAATAGCACTCCAGAGAATGGAAACTCAGACAGTAAGTTTTCTCCCTCAAATACTCTCAAGGGACTGCAACCTCATTGATATAAGTATTCCCTCCAATGATGGAGATCACAGTCTATCTATACTTGCCTGTTTCATCTTCAAAGAAATATATGATCAAAAAAGAAGATGGGCTGGTCACATGGTGAGAAAGAGGGATAATGGGCATGCAGCCTGAGTGTACCATTGGTATACTCCCAATGTCAGAAGAAAAGGGCAGGTCAGGGGTTCTTCACCTTGACTGTGTCATGGCCCCTTCTGGTAGTCTGATAAAACCTACAGACCCCTTTTCAGAATCACGTTTTAAAATAACTGAAGGAAATGCTAAATTCTAGTTAGAAGTTAATGAAAATGAAGACATCAACACTGAGTGGAACCACTGCTGTGGGATACAATGATTTTTGATAAATAAAACTTTTTCAAAAACCCAGAAATTTGAATTCCCAAGAAGGAGGATGATGTGTATGCCGAGATGAGTGGAAGAAACACGTTATCATAGGCCTCTAGGGAAAAGAGCTAAAAGAAGTCAGGTCCAGAAAATGCAATCAGGACACAGGCAATGAACAATGCAAAAAGCTGTGGAGAATGTCCACCAGAGAGCTATCTCTTCATCCCCCTGTCATCTACCCATCGCCAGTCGCAATATATTCACACCACCAAGGACAGTGGCCAGAACTGGAGGAATATCTGAGAGGCTGGTAGTAGCATCACCACATTTGTGGGCCAAAGCACTGTTAAGCATATTCTGAAATCAGTTCACTTGAAGTTCATTCACGGACTAGTAGTTAACAGTAGTTTGAACTTTTAGCCTGGGAGATATCCCACCCATTTGTAAGCAAACATGTGGTAGGGACAAACAGTTTTTATACAACCCCTCATTGTACCCTGATAAGATCTAGGGAAACATTTTTTTTCATAGTTTAGATTTCTTTATTCAAATATCAGTCACAGAAAATTCCCCATCTGGCTCTGCCAGCATTCTCTCCTATCTGGGAAACAGCCTTAATTAACAATGCCATTGGAAAGTTGATGGGAGAAAATTTGCAACACAGAATCCATAAGGCTAAGTTTCCTTTGGTTTCTTCAGGCAGCCTCTTCCACAATGGATTGGGGTGGGCTGGGAGGGGTGTATGATGATCAAAGAGGCACTACCCCCACCTACTGTCTCCCTCGATGTGTTCTGACAGTAGTTGCAAAGACAGTCGTATCTGCCTTGGGTTTGTTTCACCTTCTCTCCCTAAGGCCTTCCCCCGAATCGTACTGAAACTGAGACAGGTTTCAGTGGGCTGAGTGGCCCAGGTGAGAAAAATATTACAACAACGTTCTGCCTATACAAGGAGAACAGCTTGGGAGTTACATGGTGGTTGTTTCCTTCAAACACATCATAATTGGAGTGAATAATGTTTTTTTTTTTAAATTTCCCCTCCCCTCTTTTCTTTCTTCTCCTTCTCTTTTTAAGGTAAGTAAAACAATACAGAGCTATAGTGTTACAAACCTCACTAGCCTGAGGGATATTTGAACTAGACTTGAGTATTTTGTGTAACAACACTGCTGATAAATTGCATTACCTGGTAATTTCTTTGTGCCTGTCATGTGGTAATAATGCCTCCTCACTTTTCTCACAGGGGGATAATTACCGAGGGGAAAAGGTGAAAAAGTCTCACAAACCTGCCGTAGAATTTTGAATTCTTATCTTCAGCTTAGGCATATATGTTTCAGGTCCAGAAAGCGGGCTTTAATTCTCATGAGAAGAGGCCCTTGGGCTCTTAGGATTCCAATGAGTCAGAAAGGAAGAAGAAAGAGTCCCATAGATCTTAAAAGGTTAGTATCTAGGTGGTAGGCTTGGAGTTTGGAGAGCAAATAGTTTGAGGTCCTATGAGGGTTGGAAGGAGGCACTCTTTACTAGCTGGATATAAGAACAGCTGAATTAGCAATTGAATTGAACCCAGATTTTCCTGGCTCTGATGCTGGTTCTCTTGTCCAAATGTTATCTTGTCTCTCACCTGATATAAAATAGGAAATATGAAAGGGAGCCTACCAGCTGATTCTCCATATTGCTCTAACTTAGGCAATTCAGGGTCCTCCACAATCTGACCCTAATGTATATAGGCCACCACTCCCCTACACACAATTACGTGCTCCACATAATTTGCTTACTGTATCCTAGAATACAGCTATGTTTTCACTGCCTACAAGGCCTCTCTCAAGTAGGGCCTCTTCCAGGAAGCCAATCATTAGTCACTGGAACTCCTATAGCACTTATCATCCAACATCATTCAGTTGACACTTGGCATACACAGCCTTCTATTGTGATTCACTATCAGTGTTTTGTCTCTTCATTTAGAACGTAAAACAGAAACGTTATCTTATGGCTCCCTGTATCCCCAGAACCTGCAGGGATATGATGGAGTCAGCCTCTACCATTTTGCGTGTGCACTTTTTTCCCCAGGAGAGCTAGTTGTTAAAAATTTACCAGCATATCCCCTGCTTGCATGTCAAAGGCACTCAGTAAATCTTTGCTATAAATAATAAGTATACTCTCACTCACAGCAGGAATGTTTGTCTCTCACAATGGCTGGTTTCTTTTACTGAAGAATGGGGACAGGGGAGGGCCCTACCAGTAGGCAAACAGGTGAGAAAAAAACCTGCCACCCAAGGGTGAAGCATTCTACCTTATCGTCCACTTCATTTTTATTATATATCAATTCAGGAAGGAATATCTTAGCTGGTAGGGCTGAGAAGTAAAAAGGGAAAATGGAAAATTATAAAGATCAATCCACAGCAATAGCTAGAGCCAGTCAGGGTTAAGTATGTGTGTGGTGCTATTGTCCTTTAGTGCCACCAGCTATACAGGGGTTGTAGGTGCTACTCTAAAAGCTACAGTAGGACTTCTTCACTTCTTAGAACAGTGAGAGTCAGAGAAGAGACTGAGAGAGTTAGAATTGGAAGGGCCTTGAAGACTATCTGGTCTGAACCTTTTATTTTGTTCTTGTTCAGTCATGTCTGACTCTTCATGACTCCACAGAGCACAGAACACCACTATTGTCCATGGGAATTTTCTTGGTAATGGCTGGAGCGGTCTGACATTAAGGCAAACAGTGGTTAAGTGACTTGCCCAGGATCACACAGCTAGTTAAGTGTCTGAGGCTAGATTTGAACTCAGGTCTTCCTGACTGCAGGCTCAGCACTCTATCCACTAAGCCACCTACCTGCTTCATCCTTTATTTTACAGAAGAGGAAACTTTGGTGAGGGTCTATATTCTTGGACTGGAAAGAAGTTTCTGAGCTTTTACCATTCTTCTCACCAAGAGTGATAATATTGATATGTCTAGTGAATCAAATATATTAGATGATAGATACTTCATCAGCATCTATAAGAAGATACACTAGACCTGGTGAAGGAAAAGACTCTAGTTCTTTGTACAAAACATACAGCCCTATCCTACAACTAATGAATGAGGAGGTCTATGACTTCTCTACCCCTGGAGACCCTTAAAAATCAGAGGAAATCCCCAAACATTTGGGATATTTTGAATATGAACCAGCCCAAAGGCAGAAGAATCAATGAGATAATCCCTCAGAAAAACTTCAGTGCAAGGAATCTTACGTGGAACAGCAGAACATGTCTGGGAACTCTACCAATAGGAGAACCAATGGTTACAAAGTCTGGAGCACTACTGTCTCAGAAGAATCAAATTCCCAAGTAGCCAACGGGTATTACAAGGATGCATGATGGCGGCTAGGTGCAGAGAGTGCTGGACCTGGAGTCAGGAAGACCTGACTTCAAATAGGAATCAAATACTTATCAGCTGGGCTCTGCTGGGCAAGCCACCGAACCTGCCTGCCTCAGTTTCCTCATTTGTAATATAGGGAAAATAGCATATATCTCCAAGGACTGCTGTGAGGATAAAATGAGATGATATTTATAAAACATTTCACAAACCTTAAAGCACTATATAAGTGCTAGCTATCTTCATCGTCATCATTTTTTAAGCAAGACTATGGAACGTTACCGTGTAGTTAGTTACTAGAGAAGTGGCATAAAGGAAAGCATCAGTACTAGTTATAGCTAGTACTTACATGGCACTCGAACATTTCCAAAGCCCTTGCACGTTACCCCATCTGGTCCTCACAATAACCCTCTGACATAGGGGCCATTATTACCTCCATATTATAGGTGAGGGAAATGAGGCTGGGAGTGTCACTTCTGAGTTGCCCAGAGTCAAACAGGTAATAAGTGGCTGAAGCCAGATGTGAACTCAGGTCTTCCTGATTTCAAGTCTAGCATTCTTATCCACCTGACCACCTGGCTGCCCATGGATGCTAATAACTGGAAGTCATAGGAAAGGAGGTGGTCCAGTCATGTTGTGTGAGTGAAAAATAAAACACAAACAGTGTCTGTGCTATCTGGGGATCCAGGAGATAACGAAGGAATCAGAAGAAGATGAAAAAGTGGTGGTCCAGCAGATACAGAATTCCATGTGAAGTCCAGCACTTAATACCATGCCTGGTATATGGTAGGTGCTTAATAAATGCTTGTTGATTTGTCTTGAA